TGTAGCAACGATGAAACATACAACTTTCCTCTGGTTCTTTAATGCCTCTTCCCCCCATATCATGACCCCAATTCTACCTTACAAATGTGGCTACACAAGAGTATGTACAAATAAGAGCTGGGAGCACAGGGAATCTAGGACAGATAAACCAAGAGTAGTGATACCAGGAGAATAAGGGGAAGGTAGGGGGAAAAAGGAGGAACCGATTACAATGAGCTACCAGGGGAATAGACAGCAGAAAAGTGGGTAAAGGGAGACATCGATCAGTATTAAGACACAAAAAGATAATAATAATCTATAAATTATCAAGCGTTCATGAGGGATGGAGGTGAAAAAAGAGGAGCTGATACCAAGGGTTCAAGTAGAAAGAAAATGTTTTGAAAATGATGATGGCAACAAATCTACAAATGTGCTTAACATAATGGATGGATGGATGGATTGTGATAAGAGTTGTACGAGCCCCCAATAAAATGATTTTTTTTAAAAAATACACCCTCCATCAATTGAAGCATTTTGTTTCAGAGCCAAATCTTTAAACATTCATTCTTGTAATTATAGATTTTGCATGGTTTGTCTTTGCCTTTCACATAGTAATTTGTAAGAATTCAACCTTTTAATTCAGTTTTTAATGGACATGATTAATGCTGAAGTTCTTATCTCCAAGTTGTCATTTTCTCCTTATATTGAAGAATAACTACCGGTGTGTCCCTCTTTCCTGGCAGATTGATGATATTGATTTTATCAGTGCAAACATGGAGAACGCCCTAGCCTCTATTGGAGGCTTCTGCTGTGGCAGGTCTTTTGTTATTGACCATCAGGTAGGCATCTCTTAATAGCAAAACCATACACTGTAATGGGTTACTTATGAAAACATAGCGTGAATAAAAAACTTCACTATGATGTAGTTCATTACAGTTTTTATTTAAAAGACCATTTAAAAAATATTGCTCAAAATATTTTTTTTGGAAATCATCTTCCTTTAAAACTCTTTTTATTATATATGTAATTTTTAGCCATTCTTGGATCTTCCACATCACCATTTGTACAAATTATTTCATACATGATATAGGACATTGCTGCTATACCAGAATGCTTACCATATAAAAGGCAAAGAAGGGTCTTTAATACTGTGAATTCGTTTCTTTTTAGCGACTTTCTGGCCAGGGCTACTGCTTCTCGGCTTCATTACCTCCTCTGTCAGCTTCCGCTGCAATTGAGGCCCTCAACATCATGGAAGAGAATCCAGGTATACTTTTTGAAACTCTATTCCAAAAGCTCTCAATCACTATTAATTATGTTCCTCCTTTGCTTTCTGCAGGAACTAACTAGGAGAAAATATTTGCCAGAGAGAATTCTGAATGCCATGTCCTGGCAGTCCAGCATATGTCAGAGACTGTCCCTGGAGTAGTCTCTGATTCACAGCATGGCTGCTGTGTCAGTGTGTGGCAGTGCGTAAGGAGGAACAGCCTCCGAAACATCCCCATGGCCATGTCAAAACATGACCATCATCGTTTGCTTTATACTTTGTTGTGAAACTAGGGGAAATGTGCTGCTTTGGGTATATTGAATTTTATACCTGTTGTCTGGTTTTCCCAACAGTCTTTGACCCATCATTTGGTACTGAGGCCAACCATGGTTCACCAATAGAGAAATTGCTTGGTGGGTCCACTCATACCCTGCCTTTAGCAGGCTCTTAAGTTACTGGGTTTACTGAAATAAGTCGACAGGTTTCTATCTAATCTATACAGGGGGGGAAATTGATTTAAAAATGATATATTTGAGATATTGAGATACTTCAATCATCACTGAGTAAATAGTATTTCCTTTACATTTGAATTCCAGTTATTGGCATAATGTCAAAGGAGGAAAAAGGAAATAATTAAAAACTTGCTGAAAAAACATAAATTAGGGAGTTCCAAGTTTTGAAGATGAAGGAATCAAGGAGCAGAAAAGTGAGGTAGCGCACTAGCTACCTATGAAAGCTTTGGCAAAAGAGCAGCAATTGATTTCATATATCCTAAGTCCCAATAGATTTTACCCTCGAATTATGTGGCTTTTATAGCAAACACTTTTATCTTTTTGAAATAGATACAAAAACTGTTCAACAGAAGTAATCATAACTTGCTCTTTGGTTTTTAAAATGAAAAAAAAAATAATAATCATTAACTTTGAAGAAATTTTCTCTCTTTTGGAAGATTTTATAAAAATTGGTTATAATAAAAATAATAACCATGGCAATTAGGAATTAAAAATATCACTTTAGCTATAATAGAGCCACCTTATCAAAACTGAAAACAAAGGAAGAAGCAGGCTTTTTACCTGGGAGCTTGTTTTCACAATGGTTGATGTTGGTTTTAATTCAGCGAGCCAGAACATGGTGTGTGTCTGTGTGCACATTAATATCCTTGCTTTAAGATAACCTCACACTTGCACCTTTTTGGAGGTGGTAGTAGATATTTTGATTTTTTTTTTTCCTTCTCACTTGTCCTTAAATGAGGAAAATGTCCAAGGAAACAGTATAAAATTTACTATAGTGTAAGGGTCACTATTTTGCTTAGAAAACACTATCCCAGGTTTTGCTGAAAGTAGACCAGCAAAATGAGAATGCACCAGGTTCCTTAAAGCCAAAAACAAAAGCTCTCAGGCCGTCAGAGAAAAGGAATTTTCTAGCTCTCAAGTATATGGAAGAATTTGCTACATCTTAATTTGATGAACTGTGTCTTTGAGTAATAATATCAAATATTCCTAGTATACTATCAAAGATATTTTTTCATGCAGGTATTTTTGCAGTGTTGAAAGAAAAATGCAAGCAAATTCATAATGCTTTACAAGGGTAAGTTTTATCTATTTTCCACCAATTTAATGTTTATCTGTACCCCTTGAAAGTACTAGTGAAAACCTCTGAACTTTTGCTAGGGGAGGTCAGTCTGATGGCCTTGAAACCAAGAAACCAAAAATGTGATTCACTTAGATTGGTCTATTTGCGTAAAACCAAATTGCTGTTATTTAAAATAATCATGATCTGGTTTTTGTCAAAATGATAAAAATTCATTAATAAAATACTATAGCAATAGAGAAATTACAAAGATGGAAGTAGCAAATCACCCTAAATCCTACCACTAGAAATAAGGCCAGTAAACATTAGAAGTTCTCTCCAGTCTATACAAATAGTTAATGTATTTTTTAAATAGGTATGTATTTATTATATTGTTAAATTCTTGTGATTATACTGCCCATGTTACTTCTTAATAAATTACTAAATTCTGTTTTATTTCTATTAATACAAGGAAAAGAAAGTAAAATTAAAGTGAACCATATGAAAGTTTCTTTCTTTTTTCTTTTTTTAACGATAAAAGTCCCCAAATCCCCAAACTCACAGCCATCAAGTCGATTCTGACTCATAGCAACCCCTATAGGGATAGCAGCAGCTCCCCTTTGGGTTTCCAAGACCTTAAACCTTTACAGGAACACACAGCCTCATCTTTCTCCCTGGAAGGCAGATGGTGGGTTCAAACCATTGACCTTGTGGTTAGTAGCTCAGTGCCTAGCCCACTCTGCCACTAGTGTAAGATTTCTGTAGAGTTGAGGAAACTGTGAGATTGCTGACAATTTTGGTCTTACAAAAAATTATCTAGGATTGCCCCGGATGTTTCTTTTTCTCTTCCCTAAGGTTGAATGTACCCTTTTGGTCTTGAAAGGCTTGCGTATTACCAGTTATGGGACCTACAGACTTTGCATAAAGAAAAGAATAATTGATCAATGAGTAGATCACAGCTGTCTTAAATAAAGTAGGGGCAAAAGTAATTAAAGTTCTGGGTGTGTCTACATGACTGATTGTAACAAAAGCTGTATTTAAGGTAGAGATATATTATTTGTATTGGTTCCAGCAACATTGATTTCATGAAATATTAACACAGGCTGGAACATTGGAATCACTATATATTCATGACCACTACCCTCAAAGGCCACTCAGTCTGGTAGTGTTAATGTTAGTTTTAGAAGTCCAGTATTCAGCTATCCCAAACTGTCTCACACCTTGTTCTTCCTGATTCCTTAACTCCCTGTCTTCGATCCATCTACCTCGAGCTGTTATCCTGGCCTCATGCCATCACTTAAGAACATCCTTATTTTCCCAAATCAATCTGTATGTCTGCCTGGAGCCCTGGTGGCATAATGGTTACAAGTTGAGCTACTAACAACAAGGCCAATAGTTCGAAGCCACTAGCAGCTCCTCTGGAGAAAGATAGGGTTTTCTACACCTGTAAAGAGTTACAGTCTCGGAAACTCACAGGGGCAGTTCTACCCTGTCCTATAGGGTTGCTACGAGTCTGCATTGACTGTATGGTAGTGAGTTTGTTGATGTCTAAGCCAATCTTCTTCCTGTGACAGCTGAAGAAATGCTCCTCCCACCATCACAGGCCCTTCTTGCTTAAGGACGGAGTGCTTTCATTTTGTATATGTTTTTTTGCTGATTACTTATTTCTATGAACTGTTCTTATATCCAGCAATTTTTAAGCTTTTCATAGTTTCAGTAATTTATTTGATTTTGTTGTGATCATATGCATAAACATCCTATTACCCGCCTAATAGTTTTCTCTCTTCCTCTCCCAATTTTTGTGCATCTTACTTTGTTTTATCTTTTTTTTCATCGGTCAAGGTCTCTAGTACTGTTTTAGTATATGTGCTGCCGAAGCGAGCACGTCTCTAGTACTGTTTTAAATGGAGGCAGTAATAGCAAACATCCTTAATTACTATATTCCCAGGACCATTTCTTCATTAAGTATTAAACAGCATAGTATTGATTGCCTTTATAAATTATAAATTAGATAAGTGGCCTTTATAAATTTATTCCTAAATTTGGAGAAACAGGGTGTTTTTTTTTAAGTCATAAATAGGTGTGGGAATTCTGTAAACTATTTTTCACATCTATTAAGATACATCATTTTGGTCTCTCCTGCTTAGATCGATGTATTTTCTGATGTCAAACCACCATACTGTACTAGTTGAAGTGTATTTTCTACAGTTTTATTGTAAAAGATACGATTCTTTAGAGACTAAGCCAAGAAAACCCTGTGGAGCAGTTCTGCTCTTACATATGGGATCACCAGGAATCTGAATGGACATTTTCATGTACTTTAGTGACTACGTTACACCAATGTGGTGGTAGCTTCAGCACATGATCAGGTAGTTTTTCTCTATTTCCTGCTTTATGTAGCAAGGGTACAAGAAATGGCTTCATTCTTTTGTTGCTTAACAGTTAAGCAGAGGCTTTCTAGACTTGGGACCTTTCTGTTGAGTGTAGGTAATAACTAATTTCCTCTCTTGTGCCTGTATTCTTTTCTCATTTTGTTTTCTGTTTCTATCTTTCCATGTATTTGTCTTCTTATTCTTTCTTAGTGAGTTTAATTTACTGGTTTTATTTCCTTTTCTCTGGTATTTTCGATTATTCTGAGTAATTTAAAATTGTTTTTCTAATCAATTCATGACATCAAACTAGCCAAACTAGTTTGCCCCTTCATCAGAAACTGGAAGATTACCCAGTTGCTAACACAGATGGTTATTTGTGTCTAAAGCTCTCCTTGGACTTGAAACATAACAGGACTAAGCCATGTATGTCATACAGATTGTTTTAGCACTAATACCTGGCCCAGTGCTTGATGGTTACCCACTTGGATAGAATAATATTATCCAAAAATTTTTTTACCTCATGGAATAGACTGTAATTCTGAACTCAAGCTAAAACTCTTGTGTTCATTTGGTTTTAGTTAAACTTTAATTTAGGCAGACAAATTGGGCATTTTGTTTTGTTTTATCTCCCATTGGCTTCCCCTACCCATCTGTCAAAACACAAGTTAGCTTGGCCTTCAAGTGCCTTGTTAAGGAAAATTTAGGCCATTTGATTCATAAGTAAGCTATTTAAAAAGCAAAAAATTTTAGGTTCTCTTCTGAGACTACATGACCTTAAAAATTTTACTTCTTTGTATACAATTTTAAAACATTCAAAAATTGCATAGACAATAAGTTGTAAAGGTATATGGCATATATCTGCACCAGTGAAAGAACGAATGTGGAAGATACTCTCACATTCCTAAAGCCCTAGATATTGAGATTCCATGATTCAAATCTGAAACCTCCTTTCCTGTGATATCTTAGCATGACATAATGCTTCTAAGTAAATGGCACACAAATTAATAAAAAAAAAATGATTGGAAAGTCAGATGAGATTAAGTTCCAGTGCCCAGCCCAGAGTGAACAGGACATGGTGTGGGATAGTCATTCAACAAAAGTATGCTGAATGTTAAACTGGAAGGATTCAAATATGCTACCTATATTTTTTGTGCTAATTTCATCCTAAGGGATATATAGGTATTTTTAGGTGAAATTGAGTGAAAATGAAAGAATCTGCTTAGCATAATTTCAGACAGTCATGTGATACCATTGTATCCTAGAAGGTAACGAAGTAATATAGCATATGGTTCTCATGACATCTGTCATATAAACCTTTGAAAACAGCAGCCTTCACCCTTCTCCCTAAGAAACCTGTCTTGCCTGGAGCAAAGGACAAGAAAAAAGAAATTAATCTTAATTCAAGCAGAATTTAAAACTAAACATGCAAATAAGGAAACTTAAATGTAGACATTTCTAGTGATCAAATTTTATTAGTTTTAATGGTAGCTTATTCCCATAATTTTCAAGAAATGCAAGCTACTAAAGAAGTAAAGACTATTTCTTGGCTATATACTATTGTCTATAGACTAAAGACTATAAAAACACTATTCCTTGCCATATGTAAACCCATGAAGGAAATAGGTTTCTGTGAAGGAAACAGACATAGCTGATAATAGGCTAAGATGCAGCAGGCCCCTCCCTGGATTAGGTGATGTTAGAAGCCCCTCTGAGAGATGATAATGGAACTAGAGCCTAGTATATAGAGTCCCTGTACACAGTGCACAGTCAGAGGAAACAACGAGGGCAAGGCTCAGGGGAGGGGACCTGGAATAAGGTATGTAAGGATGCAAGCCTCACAGCTGTGATGGGCAAGGTAGCAGGATCAGGTAGACTGATTAGTGGAAGTCTCGTTTTCCCTGTGAAATAAAAAATACCTCCCATTGCAGGGGATGCTCAATTAGGAAGTGCTGCCTAGAGTATGTATTTTTTAACGTGTGTGTGTGTGTGTGTGTGTGTGTGTGTGTGTGTGTGTGTGTTCAATTGGAATTCCACCATAGTTATAATGATGTTTCCAGTAAAAGTCACTAGTTCCTGTTTTGTTTTTGTTTTTTTTAATGATTTAGAGGTGAGATATCTTTGTACCAAAGGGATTTATGTATGTGTGCTTCCCTTCCTCAGCATTTCTGGACTAAAAGTGGTGGGAGAGTCATTTTCTCCAGCGTTTCACCTACAACTAGAAAAGAGCACTGGTTCTCGAGAAAAAGATGTTAAACTGCTCCAGGAAATTGTGAATCAAGTAAGTATCCAGGTGTTTAAGTGAATCACCCACCCCACTTCTGCTTCCACTCCTGAGCAATGTTTTAAACAATGTTTGAAAGGTAGACCTCATTGCCTCAAAAGGTAAGATACAGAGACAGTGCTGGTCACTCCTCTTCTCATATGGCTTGTTCTAAATCTGGAGGGCCTTCCTGATGTCCCTCTCTACCCAGTTACGTTTGTATCCTATCTGAAGTGACAGGAACTAGTTCCTCTGATTTGACCACCAACGTTTTTGTGTTCATTGCCATGTTGTAGTTAAGTAATAAACTTGCTTCCAACCTAAATAGTCTACAGAAGATGCATTTGCTTGCTATGTACAAAGTCAGGCTATCAGACATTGCAGTGGAGACGACCTGGTGGGTAGTCAGTACACACACTACTGGACAACTCCTAATCGGGAGTTAGCCTCCAAGGTGATTCAACAGTGGTTTATTAGCTGTCCTTCAAGGTGATAACACCCTTTAATCAAAACGGGAGGAGGAAAACACTACTTTAACTCGCCTAAAATGAGAGCTTTGTTTTAATATTCTGAAAGTTATTTGACTATTAGTTATAACTTAGTTACTAACCGAGAAATGTATTTCTGGAAAGTCACGTGGCCTTTTCTGTTCCGTAGAGCTGCTTCTCCTCAAGTATTAACCTTCTGACTTTGCTCTCTGTACTTGTCGCTACCCTTATAACATGCCTTCCCAGCACTGACGCTTGCCATCACTTGAATCTAAAATACGTCTTACATGTATTTTACAATGAAAATATGGAATTTTTTTTTTAACTTGTCCTGTTAATGATTCTTTCCAAAGACGTGGGCTCCAGGTAGCAAGTAGATGCTTAGGGTAATAATGATGGCACCGTCTGTCATTGGCTTCTCTGTGGTCGGCACGTGCCAGCTTCTTCTATACAGCACCTCAGGACTGCTCCATGCCTGCCTTGTGCCCTCTGTGTGTTTTGGGTGGGGGGCTAGGGGTGTTTCCAGATCCAAGTCTACGGACACATAGCTGTTAGTTTAGGGACCAGCATATGGAGCTAGCATCGGCTATCAGCCACAGTGACTGAGCGACTAATCGGCAATGGCAGATTCATGGAGAGTTTTATGTCATTTGTGGCCTTGTGTCAGTTGTTAATTAAAAACCAAAAATAAAACCAAACAGAAAGTGCGATACTAATGTAAGTGTCAGATTATGGACTAACAGGAATGGTTCTTGTATTGTTAAGTGAGAAAATGTCAAGTGCAGGTTTGCAAAATTGAAAAATGGCAGGTGCTCTTTAAAAGGAAAAACTCTCGATAATCCCTTTTACTATCTGGGTATTTTTATTGTAATTAAAATATGTACAAATATACAAGTACAGTAGTCTTGTAATTAGCATTCTTACACAAATGTAATACCAAAACAAACTTGGGAATTAAACCCAAACTCAATGAGCAAGTTAGTAAGATTGAACTTAATTACATTACCTGAATGTGACAGTTGTTTCTTTGTTTTTTACAAAAACGATGGCCTCTAGGATCTGCTTGTTGTAAGTTGGTCACTTTAAAGTATGTGTGTTCTCCCTCCAAGTCTCAACTGAACCTTGTCAGGGGGTTAGATTCCAGTGGACTGATTCCATACTAAATCCAACTCAGTCCTTTTTGCATTAAATAGCAGCAGTTACATTCTGGCTACTACTTTGTTCTAGTGAAAGGCAAATAGAATATATGAATGAAATGGCTTCATATTAACTTGCTGTCTTTATTAACCTGTGATATGCATGTGACACAACTCTCCTTGGTGTAAGTGCGGAGGACTTTGAAGCACTTGCTGATGAAGAACAAGGATTACAGCTTTCAGTATGGATGACAATTCTATGTGAAAAAGGCCAAAATCTTCACAACTGGACTCATAGCTAACATGATCAATGGGGTGAAAAATTGAAGTTGTCAAGGATTTTATCTTACTCGGGTCTGCAATCAATACTCATGAAAGCACCAGTCAAAAAATGAGTTGCATTCGGTAAATCAGCTGCACAGCACCTTGTTAGAGTGTTGAAAAGCAGAAAGGTTACTTTGAGGACTAAGGTGTGCCTGACCCAAGCCATGATATTTTCAGTTGCCTCATGCAGGTGACAGGTGGGCATTGAATAAGGAAGACTGAAGAACTGTTGCATTTGAGTCTTCATGAGGGACATCAGTCAGGGCCATGTTATAAGAACTAATTGTTTTCCGATTGGGAATAGAATTAAGTGTGAACCTAGAATCCGCTCATGTATCTATGGTTTGTATATATCTCTGATTTGTCTTAGAAACATCATTATTTTATGATAGAACATTATAAATCATCCCCCTGCAAGGTAATTCTGTTGAGGGTGTCACTAATTTAAGCAATAGTAAAGAATTTTAAAAACACTTTAGAAAAGAAAATTATAGGCCGGCTTCACGCTGCAATACATGAATTGTTGACTTAGATTAAATTCTTACGTGACTGGACACTATTTACACAAACAATGTGAGTTGGTGAAAGGGCAAAACTTTCAGTAATACTCAATCACAAACGTAGACCCATTCCTACAATATTAATGCATGTCATAAGGAAGCCATTAAGCTAATAAATATATGGTAACCTCAGGCAACCTTTCATTAGGCACCCTTAAAGCACAGCATCTGAACCAAAGTCCAGTAACCACTAATTCCATACCTTGGGTTAATAGCCATCTGCTGCTTCTCATACTCGGGCCTTTAGTACAGCCCTAAGTAAAAGGGAGTACTAAAGTCAGTTCCATAAATCTGCTACAGATGAGTTTAAGGTAAAACCCAATTCACTTAAGAGGGGTTTTCACATCGAATCTTCTGATGTGACCTCTGAAGGATGTTGTCTGGCTCTAAAGGACAAAGTCTAAAGTCCCAGAAGTCTGGCACACAGCCCGGTTCACCAAGGACATAGAAACTAGGTCAAATGTGTCCAATTAGGAGCATAGGACCAGGCATCTTCTCCCCTTGGGTTGTATATAAGTAGTTAGGAATATTTTTTCCTGATTAGAGGTTGCTTTTCCCAGTTTACCCACCAAGAGAAATGTACTTGCCTTCCCAGAAGCATACATGCTCCTCTCCCCCCATCTTGACTTTAATTTCCAGTTTATTGATTTGAGGTGACCTTAACACAATGTTGTATGGCAGCAACTGAGTGATCTTCCTCTTCCCACGGCCACGCCCCCCCCCCACCATCTTGAAAATCTTGTACTTTTTGGAAAATATTCCATATTGACGCATCCAACTCTGTGTAGTTGCAGTATATAATTCACATAGCACAAAATACGTGTTAGGCCACTATTTACAGTGTCTGTACAACTTCTAGTCAACAGACTACTTATGGTTATGTTTGGGGGATTCAAAAACTACCTGGGAATTGTTTACTATGGTAGGGTTTGGGTATGCATTACTATTACAGTGTTTAAGAGTCCACTGTGCAGTTCAGAATCTAATCAGCAAGGGTCTGTAATTATTGCCTGGCTTACCTTGGTCTGCTTTTTGTGTTTTCTGTACTTTATAACTCTGTTAGTAAGGTAGCCACTACATTATTTAAATTAACTAAAAGTAAATAAAATTAAAAATTCATTTTCTGTGTGCATTAGCTAGATCTCAAAGATGTTCAATAGCCACATGTAATCAGTAGCTACTATATAGGTGGGCACAAGGAAGATTTTCAAAAATTTGTAGACCAATGCTGCTCTAGATTATGTTGTGATATTTTAGTTTTGTTTTCATGCAGTTGTAATTGGGAAAATGAATTAAAACTGTTGAGAACTAACACTTTAGTTTATCTTCCTGTTCTCTCTAGCATGTATCTGACATTCGGCTTGCAAACATATCTCTTTTTCATTATACAGTGCATGAACAGAAGTATTGCATTAACTCAGGCACGCTACTTGGAGAAGGAAGAAAAGTGCCTCCCTCCTCCAAGGTTAGTTGACATTAAAATAAAACTTTCTTTTTATCTTACAAAGGCTGCATGAAATGTATTTTACTTGAAATTTTGGAAACATATCTCATTAAAATGTAATACATCACCTATTTTCTGTTTTTAAACTGCGTATTTTCAAATTCTAATAATAAATCATTTAAGACTCACATTGTACCTATATTAACCTAAAGAAATGTCTAGGATCCCAAGAACCATGGGGTCAGACTACAGTTCTAATCAGCAAATAGCTACCAAGTCCCTAATGTTCCTAATGTTCTAATCAGCAAATAACTACCAAGTCCCTAATGTACCTAATGTTCTAATCAGCAAATAACTACCAAGTCCCTAATGTTCCTAATGTTCTTATCAGCAAATAACTACCAAGTCCCTAATGTTTCTAATGTTCTAATCAGTAAATAACTACCAAGTCCCTAATGTGTTGCACTAGCGGCATCTGCCGGCAGAGCACTGTGCAGCACTACATCCAGCAATCACGTAGTAAAACACCTAGAACAGCAGTTCTCACCCTGTGGGTCGTGACCCCTTTGGGGGTTGAATCACCCTTTCACAGGGCTCACCCAATTCATAACAGTAGCAAAATTGCAGTCATGAAGTAGTAACGCAAACAATTTTATGGCGTGGGGTGACCACAACATGAGGAACTGTATTAAAGGGTCGCGGCATTAGAAGGTTGAGAACCACTGACCTAGGGTAAAGCAAAGCAATTGTAAGACAGAAAACAGGTTTGCTACCAAGTTTGTTACCAAAAAATTCTGAGAGCATGCCTTGATTCACAATCTTAAACTGGCATTGATTTAACAAAAGATAGTGAAAGTTACTGAAAGAAACATGGTTCTGCTTTCAAAGGGCTGACAGTGGTGTCGGGAAATAGACGCACAAATCAGGACGTGGTCAAGGACACAGCCCTGGCTGCAGTGCGGTCACAAGAGAGTTGACTGCCCTGGAAGGAGCTGCTTTGGACCTAAGCTAAACACGCAATGAATTAAATAGAGGGCAGAGCCCCACCACCAGGTGACTTTGACTACAGACTTAAGAATGGTAGGGGGTGAGGAGCAGGAAGACCAGAGAGCAAATGTTTTAGGCTTACAGCCCACAGGATTCCTATGACAACCATCCTGCACTGCCATTGTTGTTTGAAAGCTGCTCTAGACAAAACCTAACATCTGACTGTGTTCCACTAAAACTTTATTGACAAAAATAGGTGGTGGTATGTTGTAACTCTGAGACCATAGATTGCTAACTCCTTGTATAAGCTCCCACTTTACAGTGTTTTGTAATCCTTTATTGTTTTTCAGCATTCGAGTTGTGGTTACAGTGGATCAAACAGAAAAAGAACTAGAGAGGGCGGCATCCATAATCAAAGAGGTAGCCCAAGCTGTTCTGCTTTAGGAGGTGTCTCCGGCGTG